GGAAGCTTCCCAATCACAAGTCCTGGTTCTCATGGGGGCTTCAGTCACCCTGACATCTCCTGGGAGGACAGTACAGCAGTACACAGGCAATCCAGGAAGTTTATGGAGAGTGTTTGGGACAACTTCCTGTGGCAAGTATTAGAGAGACTAAGGGGCATGCTCTTCTTGACCTGCTGCTCACAAACAGGGAAGAATTGATGGAGAATGTAGTAATGGATGGCAACTTGGGCAGCAGCAACTATGAGATGGTTGAGTTCAGGATCCTGATGAAAGGAAGGAAGGAGAACACCAGAGTAAGGACCCTGGACTTCAGACAGGCAGGCTTTGACTCACTCAGGGAACTCATGGCCAGTATCCCCTGGGAACCCAGTCTGAGGCAGAAAGCAGTCCAGGAGATCTGGCTATACTTTAAAGGAACCTTACTGAGAGTGCAGGAACAAACCATCCCAGTGTGCGGGAAGACTAGCAGGTATGGCAGAAGACCAGCTTGGCTCATCAGGGGACTCTTCCATAAGCTAAATCACAAAAAGGAAGCTTATAAGATGTGGAAATTTGGACAGACAACCAGGGAGGAGTTTAAGATTATTGCTCGGGCATGCAGGGATGAAGTTAGGAAGGCCAAAGTGCAATTGGAGTTGCAGCTAGCAACAGATGTGAAGGGTAACAAGAAGGGTTTTTACATGTCGGTAACGAGGAGGATCAGGGAAAATGTGGGTTTCTTACTGAGTGGGGTTGGCAACCTAGTGACGGAGAATGCAGAAAAGGCTGAAGTACTAAATGCCTTTCTCACCCCAGTCTTCGCAGGCAAGGTGAGCTCCCAGACTACTGCACCTGGAAGCACAATTTGAAGAGAAGGTGAACAGCCAACTAGCAAGAGAACAGGCTAGGGACTATTTAGAAAAGCTGGACATATGCAAGTCCATGGGCTTGAATGGGATCTACCGAGGGTGCTGAGGGAGTTGTTCGATGTGATTGCAGAGCCACTGGCCATCATCTTTGAAAACTCATGATGATCGGGAGAGGTCCCAGATGATTGGAAAAGGGTAGATATACTGACTGTGTTTAAGGAAGGGAAAAAGTAGGATCTACAAAACTATAGACGAGTCAGCCTCACCTCAGTCCCTGTGAAAATCATAGAGCAGGTCCTCAAAGAATCAATTTCTAAGCACTTGCAGGAGAAGGTGGTGATTAGGAACAGTCAGCATGGATTCCCCAAGGGCAAGTCATACCTAACCAAATGGATTGTCTTCTATGATGAGAGGACTGGTTCTATGGATGTGGAAAGATCAGGAGATGTGGTATACCTTGACTTTAGCAAGGCTTTTGATATGGTCTACCACAACATTCTCGCAGGCAAGCTAAGGAAGTGTGGGTTGGATGAATGGATTGTAAGATGGATAGAAAATTGGCTGGATCATTGTAGTAGTCAATGTGTCAATGTCTAGTTGGCAGCGAGTAGCAAGTCGAGTGCCCCAGGGTTGGGGCCTAGGGCCAGTTTTGTTCAATATGTTCATCAGTGACCTGGAAGATGGTAGAGAGTGACCCCTCAGCGAGTTTGCAGATGATATGCTGGAGGGTAGGGTTAGGATTCAGAGACCTGAATAATTGGAGGACTGGGCCAAAAGAAATCTCATGAGGTTCAACAAGGATGAGTGCAATGTCCTGCAATTAGGACAGAACAATCCCATGCACCAGTACAGGCTGGGGGCTGGCTGGCTGGGCAGCAGCTCTGCAGAAAAGGATCTGGGGGTTACAGTGTGCAATAAGCTGAATAAGAGCCAACAGTGTGCTCTTTGTTGCTAAGAAGGCTAACGACATACTGGGCTGCATTGGTAAGAGTGTGGCCAGTAGATCAAGGGAAGTGATTAGTCACTTCTATACAGCACTGGTGAGGCCACATCTGGAGTACTGTGTACTCCCACCTTCCCCCCACTACAGAAAGCATTTGGACAAGTTGGAGAGAGTCCTGCAGGGGACAGCAAAAATGGTTAGGGTGCTGGGGCGCATGATTTATGAGGAGAGTTTGAGGGAACTGGACTTATTTAGTCTGCAGAAGAGAAGACTGAGGGGAGATTTAATAACTACCTGAACAATGGTTCCAAAGAGGATGCAGATGACAGAAAAAGGAGCAATGGTCTCAAGTTGCAACAAGGGAAGTTTTGGTTAGATATTAGGTAAAACTTTCTCATTAGGAGGAGGGTAGTAAAACACTGGAACACGTTACCCAGAGAGGTTGTGGAGTCTCCATCCTTGGAGGTTTTTAAGGCCCAGCTAGACAAAGCCTTGGCTGGGGTGATATAGTTGGCTGGGTCCCGCTTTGAGCAAGGGGGTTGGACTAGATGACCTCTCGAGGTCCCTTCCAGCTCTAATTTTCTGTGATTCTATAGAAGTTTGATAGACCAGTCTAACTTAAATTGCTTAAGTCTGATACTACATCCATCTAGGTGTCTCCTTTTTTCTACCAATCTGTGCTCACTGAACTGTACTGTTTTGGGTTTAGACCAGTTTTCAGTCACTTATACCAGTTTATGTTTAATGCCTGTACCTGGCCTATAATTTTAAGTTGTGACTTCTGATACATGGAAACAAGGAGAAAGAGTGGGGAAAAGTGGTTTCATCCCCTACAATACTGCATTTGTACAGTCTATAGGGATATTGTGTTCAGCTGAGTAAGGTTGCTTGCCTACTCCTTCACCAACGAGGGAGGCTTGGCTGCACCCCTGTGTTGAGGCAGCATATCACTACTTCCTCAAGCAGTTATGGAAACAGGAAAGAATTGTGATGTCTCTCTTTCATTCCCTCCCACAGCCATTCCTGGGGTGAAATACTCTTCACACCAGCTTTTTCACAGTTCAGGGCTGGACCTAAAGGAACAGTTCAGTGCCACGTGTTTAGCACTGTGTTAAGGAGCAATAATTGAGACGAGATTTTCTGTCACTAATTGGTGAAGCATTAATAGCAGATGTTTAAAAAGAAAATAGTGGTCCCAAGGTGCATTGGTTTAGTAATCTAATCTTCCTTGCTTTTGTAAATTTTACGGTAATCTCTTAATAAAATAAGATGGTATGAACACCGAAATGTTTTCCTATTCCTTATTGAAGGTTATAGACTTGAAAGTTTACATTAACATCTCAGAGCTAATTGAAGAGATGCTTTGAGCAAACTTGAGATGAAATTGCAAGTCATCAAAGGTGCAGTTAGGTGGCCTTGGTTTATATAGTAATGATTCAAACACAACCAGTTTTTCATAGGAGGCCTGGTTGACATATACTGTGTATCTAATTTTCAGTAAGAAGACTACTGAAAGTTTCAATGAAGGTGTTTAAAAACAGTATTTCTTTCTTGTCTTTTTCACAGATTAATGTAAAATATTTCAGAATGATGTGATGGAAATTAAATGGGGTATGTTCATGATTGATGTCAGAGTATTAAAGGGAATCATTTATACAATTTTCTCATGGCTATCTGAATACTGACAAAGGCATAAAGCACATCAGAGAAAGCAATAGAATTTTAGAATTTCTAAAATGCAGTAAAGGAAGGGATCATTTCTACAAAGGTGTTAACTGCCCTCATCTCCATAGGAAGTGGTGGGCAGACAGTGCTTTGTGGGAACTTTCAGCACTTTGCTGGATCAAGAACATCCTTAACACACAAAGCGAGCCATTTGACAATGCAAAGCTGAAGTATCCCAGTGGTGGATGAGAGAAGGAATTTTCCATAATATCAAGCTGGCAATTGTTCTCTGGCCTCTTGCAATGTGGCTTATAGGTAGCAGACAAAAAACTGGCAAAGGGAAATCTGTTCATGCCTTCCCTATACCCTTTTATGATATCATGCAAGAAGCTTCATGAACTGCGTTGCAAATAGTGCCTACATCTCTTGTGCAGGTTTTTTCAATCCTGACCCATCTTTGTACTTCATATCTTTCCTGCACGGAACAGTGGCACCAAGATAACATCACCTGTAACTTTTAACTGGTTGAATCTCAGTGAAATCATTATGATATAAAAACAGTAGTTGTTTTCATTGTTTGCATAAATATATTTCTATGCTTACAGAGTTCACACTTTGGTTTATATTACTTTTGTTACACTTGGTTTATGTTGCATCTATATCTATAATCCGCTAAGAATGGTGACTTGCTGAGTGGTACCACCACTGGCTCAATGGCATGTGGTAACTGTTGTGTTGATTCAGTTAATATTTTCCTTATTTTTTGTTTTTTTTTTCCCCCTTATACTCCATTCCTTAATTACAATAAATGATTTCTTTGATTGCATGTTGAGATAGCAAAAATGCTGTGCTAGTGTTGTTACTATTCTGCTACTGCTGAGATTCTTACTGCTGACTCTCGAGGGCAATAAGATCTATGTACTCTACTTATTTTCTTGCATACTTAGCTGTCGTTGCAACCTTAGTAATTATTATTTAATTAACTTTTGAGTCTTCCACGAATAGTGTGAAAAAAAATAAGGGTCAAAACAAAGCTCTACGGTAAATTGCAAATCCGATAAATGTCACTACATGGGATTATAGTAGTGGCTATTAAGCAGCATGGTGACATTAAAGAGTCTGCAGAATGTTAGAAGAATCAAATGTGTGGGGCAAAAGAGAGGTGTTGAGCTGGCAAGCTTATTTTGTTTTTGTAATTTATAGCAGGGATGCCTAGAGCCTTGGGCATGGGCCTTATCTACTCTCTTTACTACTGCTGGTACTACTACTACTACTGCTGCTGTTACTACTGTGATGACAACTACTACCAAATTATGCTTTATTCTTGCCCTGCATTTTTCCCTACTGAACAGTTCACTGGCGAAATATTAAGTTGGCTTTGTTGCAGGCTATACTTTATCATGGAGCTGCGTATGCCTGTCTGCATACACATTTATACTGCATAAACCAAACCTGCAATAGGTGTACCGGTGTCCTCAGACTTGTATGAATATAGTGTAAAATTAAACATTTAATAATGTCAGGTTTTCCTTTGTTTTTTATAGTGGATGGTTGCATACACAGAGCTGCTGGGCCCTGCTTAGTTGCTGAATGTCGCAACCTGAGTGGCTGTGAGACAGGACAAGCTAAAATTACTTGTGGATATGACCTACCTGCAAAATGTAATTGAACTTCTTCCCCCCCCTTTCTTTTTTTTTTTTTTTTTTGTTCCAGTGGATATGACCTACCTGCAAAATGTAAGTGAACTTCTTCACCCACCTTTCTTTTTTTTTTTTTTTTTTGTTCCAGACTATGTGGTTACATATGCATTCTTTCGCAATAGGGTAATTCAAATAGGCATTGATTTGCAAAATTAGTAGTGGGATTAAATTAAGCAAGTTTTGTAATGGCATCTGCCTCTTTAGCCCTTTGAGGAATTCACACTTTTTAGAATGAGCATTTGACCTCTGTTGCACAATGAAAATAAATGTTTTTAAACATCTTTTATCTTTACATTTGTTATAAGGTATAGTGTTTTATATATGGAATAAAGGGTCTGAGGATCTGAAATGTCTTCTAAAATATGAACAAAATGTACACTATCATATGTAAGTGTCATGGAGTCCGTTTTTGGAAATGCTGCAGATTTCATATTCTTCATTCAGATTCCTTGATTGTGAATACATTTAGAGCTAAGGAGATCAAAGTGATATATTGTGTTTTCAGCTGCTATGTAGAGGCTGATTGGCAATTACTGTGAAGGCATCTGTCACACTTCAGCTTTCAGTGGAATGCAGTTTTCAGTGCTGGAATGTTTTTGCACTTTGAAAGTGGAATTGTTAAAATCCCCGTTCTTTTTAAATAGAAAGAAGGTTATTTGATTGACCTTGTTTTGTAGGTGGTGAGCCAAACCTGGAAAAACAAACACTTGGATATTGACAGCATATTATGAAAACAGTGATACATAATAAAAGCAGGATTTTCTCCTTTCCTTCACCCATCCCATTTTGAGTTCTTACAGAATAGAATATTAAGAGGTGTGATTATATATGAATTTCAAGAAAGTACTATGAGCAGCTTATCGTGAGAACTCAGGCACACTCTTAAGCATTCAGTTCAGGGCTAGGAATATGCCTCATTTAAAAATATTCAGATCTCCTTTTTGATTTTCCTGTAGGCTGATTTTCTGTACAATCTAATTTGTGCTGCAATTTTAAGAATTGTTTTAGTATTTCCAGGATCTTCCAGGGGTACCTTAGATAAAATTAGGCATTTTTCCTAATCATTTAAAAACTATCACTGCTAAAATAGAATTATCCAATAATGATGTTAAAGCCTAGGACATGATTTAAGTGATAGTGATTGCTACCTTGAAATGGAAAATTTAATATGGTTTACAGCCAGGTTTTGACATCTGTAGTTCATTAATTATGAAAGGTGTGATTTTGGCTGCAGGGCAAATGTTAAGCAAGATTCTGGAGGTAGTTGGGTGGGGTTGATGTGGCCAAAAAATATTGGTAAGGTTTGTATAAAAACAGATACAGTTCCAGTATATAGTCTGTCCAACAAGAATAAATTAACGTTCTGGAGTAGGTCAATACAAGTTACTTGTGCCAGAATTAGAAGTAGTGGTAAGTCTTTTCAGTAAATGTCTCTCTTCATATTGCAGGCAAAAGAAGTTAGCTGTGTTAGTCTGAAGTCAGGCAGAAGGCAGGGTAGATATTTACCTTATAGACTAACTAAGGTCCCTGGCACACATTACGCTTAAGACGGGATTAACCAGTTAATCATGTCTTAAGTTGTTACCCAGCCACATGTTAATGTAATTAATGGTGTGATAAAGCATGGAAAAGTCACAAAGTTATTACATCAAAAATGTACAATAACTTTGTGGCTGCTTACTAACATGCCATTAACAGACTGCTTAGCTGGGCTGTATCTCTGAGCCTTGGGAGCACAGCTAAGAGCCCCATCAGCTGATCCAGGCTCGTAGCCACAAAGGCACACCAAGCTCCCACATGGCTGGGAGCCCCATTGGCTGGTGGGGGTCCCCGCCCACGGCGAGGGCCAAAAAACC